AACAACAACATAGAGGCATTAAAAAATAAATAAATAAAAATATTTAGAAGAAAAAAATAAAGTCAAACAGGTATACAAGTTGTCCCACTTTAATAGCTATAGTAAGTTATTAAGTTAACTTAACTTTTTAAATTCACTTTTCTGAATCTGGAGTTCCTTACTGGTAAATAAATGAAAATGTCTATCTCTATCTAATGGGGCTGTTTAAAAATTTATGTAATATTATATATATAATCATTCCCTAGTTCAATTAATGTTATTTCCCTCACCTTCCTTCTCTTCTATTACACACACACTCCACTATATAGTTATTACCAATTTACAGAGAATTAGAATAAAAGAGATTTAAAGCCATTCTTAGCTTAACATGATCTTCCTTTAGTGATTAAAAAAATTCAATAGTGTGCAATGCTTCATGACTATTATTACCATCATGAATTACCACTGCATTGTAGATGAGAGAAAGAACCCTTTTAATAACAGGATATTTAGAGTAATAAAGGTGAGTTATCTAAGAGTTTGCAGGAACAGAGACCCTGCTTCATGTTCTTCCTGAAATCCCCCTCGCTAAGTATCTCACTAAGAACACTGCATGCAGTGGGAGCGCCTCCTCCAACACTTCCACTTACTAACTGTTCTATTCACAATTTCCATGATTTCATCATTCTCCAAAGCTACACCTTCCTCCTAAACCTGAATACAAGCTGGGTTGCTGCCGAGCCTCAAACAATAAACTGCCACGAGGAAAGAACGTGTTACAGCTCAGTGTCAAGTGTAAACAACAGCATACTGTTTCTGCCTTACACTTTATGAATGCAGAGTGCAAAGGGGGCTACAGAGTCAGACATTCTTGCCTGCAGCCTCCTCTTCATTATCGTGAAGGCCATGTACAGCTCTTTGCTTCTACCATGTCTGCTGTGTACTTCCTTCAGAATAAAAGTATTGTGCAAAATATTTGGTTGATAAAACATTACCCTGGGACATGTTGATGGCTCTCATGGCTGGAGGGGACTAGATTTAAGGACATCTCTATAATATTTAAGGCTTCTTTTTTGCCCTCCTCATTTTAACACATTAGGAAGGAGAGAAAGAGTTAGAATGTAAAAAGTTTAAAAATGTAAAAACCTAGGAAAAAAATGAAATATTCAAAAAGAATGCCATCCAGTATAAAGCTTGGGGGGGAGGAGTACTTAAGTGTGGTAATAAAAAAAATTTTTTTTAATGATCTGAAAAAAATATATACCTAGTTGTGAATCAAATCCAGCGAGCCCCTCTGTGGGAAGCCTAACTCTGTATCTCTCTCTCTGTCTTTGTATCTCTAACTCTCTCTCCTCCTCCTCCTTCTTCCTCTCTCCCTCTCTCCTTTCCCTCTCCTTTCTCTCAGTCTTTCTGTCTCTATCTATGTCTCTATCTGTATCTATTCTCTCTCTCCACTTCCCTTCCTTTTCTTTCCCCTCCCTGCTCCTTCTCTTCACCATCCTTTACCTTGAGTGGACAGTAAAAGTGGTGAAGAGGCATTTAGAATCAAGCCATAGATGTCAAAAAAGTCTTGCATAAGAGAAAATCAATTTTCCCTAGGGGACCAGACAGATCAAAAAGCCCAAAGCAAATTAGAAAATATGAAGATAAAATTAATGTTTTCTCTCTGGAAAGCAAAAATTAGTTCATCAAGCAACTTTTGGGGGCAGTCTGAACTCACAAAGGATCTAGAGAACAAAGTTAACTCAGGCACATCAATTTATGCTATTAGGAATAATATGTTTAAAGAGCAAACAAATCCAGGGCGAGTGATTAAAAGTTTCTCCCCAAAGTAAAAAAGGACAAACAAAGCTATAGTAAATAATGGTTAATAATGGTTGAGATCCACTTGGGAACTATTTGTATATCTGTGTTTGCTTTAACAATAATACAGTCCTATATTTCAACTATGGTTATACTTGTATGCAAGTTTAAGTAATTAGTAATCAAAATTCACAATATAACATTAAGAAAGAATTATATTGGGGCGCCTGGGTGGCTCAGTCGTTGGGCATCTGCCTTTGGCTCGGGTCATGATCCCAGGGTCCTGGGATCGAGCCCCGCATCGGGCTCCCTGCTCGGTGGGAGGCTTGCTTCTCCCTCTCCCACTCCCCCTGCTTGTGTTCCCTCCCTCGCTGTGTCTCTCTCTGTCAAATAAATAAATAAAATCTTTAAGGAAAAAAAAAGAAAGAAAGAATTCTATTTACATAGAAAAGCCATTAGGGAACGAAGGATGCATTCTCTTTCTATTCCTTTCCTTTTGAGTATCTATATTTATGGTGCAGGCCCCACAAGTTTCACTGGGAAGCATAGTTGGCAAATACTTTTCACTCGTTCCCTCTTGCTGGCATGGCAAGCCCAAACTTTAAAGGGACCGCAACGTTCTGTTATATAAGTTAAGGCAAAATGCAAACATCAGTACCTTGATGTACATATCAAAGTGTACACTCCTGCCTATGTCAAAGGAGCAGTTCAAAAAAATGAAAGCATCTCAAAAGGAAAACAAAACAAAACAAAGGACTGCTGAACAAAGAGCCTCAAACTATTATTAGTCCAGACTCTACGAACATTGTAGGAAAATGATATTGCTTTCTCAATAATGTACAGCTATCCCAAAAGTTTTTATTTTGATGGCAGAAAGAAAAATAAAATTCATGAAACAACACAGCTCAGCCAAGTCTAGGTTATTGAGGGTATGATTATTTGATCTGTTTTTTCTCATCTTCTCAGCCATCTTGTATTATCATCGTTCCTACTGCCTCTAAAAGAGAGAAAGACAAAAGAAGGCAATTCTCTATATCAGCTTTTATAGGTTTCAATAACAGGTACTTGGAAGTTATTGACTGAGATTCCCAGATTATTTGTAAAATGGATTCATTTTCTCTTTGTCCCTCAAAAATAAATGAGAGACACTAGCCCTTAGTGGATTTAAAAATAAAGCAATCATTGTGTTTTTTATCTTGAGGATGGATATATTATTTTCTAAAGAAGTTAATCAGCTGAGGAGAAAAGATATTTTAAGTGGAATAAAAATGGGTGAGAATTGGCCCAGGATTAAATCACTGATCATCAAGACAGTGATCTGGTTTTATAAAGCTCATCTCAATAAGGCAGAAACAAATGTTCTGGTGTGGGGGTGGGGGGAACGCAGAAACAAAG